CTTCATCTGAGAAAACGCAGAAAGCAGAAAAAAAATCCATTCTCAGAGCATATTTGAACTATTTTATTTGGACTAAAATGGCCACTGGGAAGCACGGTGAATGTCTGCAAAACCAAGGAATTCATCTCAGCATTATATATTTGTAGAGTAAATTAAGTCAACTTAAAATATTTAAAAAAAATTTTTTTATGTGTATGAATGTATTGCCTGCATGTGTATAAGTTCATCAGTGTCATGCAATGCCCTTGGAGGTCAGAAAAGGGCATTCGATCCCCTGGAACTGGGGTTATGGACGGTTATTAGTGGCCATCTGAATGCTGGGATTCAGTCCCTGGTCCTCTACAAAAGTAGCCTGTGCTCTTAACCACTGAGCCATCTCTCCAGCCCCAATTTAAAATATTTTATAGTTTATAAAACTATAAAAATAATAAAACTGTCAAATTAAGGCAACTTAAAATATTTTTATTGTTTATAAAACTATAAAAGTAATAAATACGTATTCACCTGTTCAAAAAAACCCAATATATTTGAACCCATAAATTATAGAGTGTGAGCTGTGCCCCCACCGACAAAGGCAGAGCCTCCACTAGCAGGTGAGCAGTCTTCTCTTCTTTCTATACGCCTACAAATAGGACTTTAGTCATGTTTTTCTACAAAAATGTTTTTATACTGGGGATTAAACATTGGGCCCTATGCATGCTAGACAAATGCTTTATCACTGAACCACACCCCAGCCCCTCACTGGGGCATTCTAGGCAGGTGCTCTACCACAGAGCCACACCTCCAGCCCCTCACTGGGGGATTCTAGGCAGGTGCTCTACCCCTGCGCCACACCCCAGCCCCTCACTAGGGGATTCTAGGCAGGTGCTCTACCCCTGCGCCACACCCCAGCCCCTCACTAGGGGATTCTAGGCAGGTGCTCTACCCCTGCGCCACACCCCAGCCCCTCACTAGGGGATTCTAGGCAGGTGCTCTACCCCTGCGCCACACCCCAGCCCCTCACTAGGGGATTCTAGGCAGGTGCTCTACCCCTGCGCCACACCCCAGCCCCTCACTAGGGGATTCTAGGCAGGTGCTCTACCCCTGCGCCACACCCCAGCCCCTCACTAGGGGATTCTAGGCAGGTGCTCTACCCCTGCGCCACACCCCCAGCCCCTCACTGGGGGATTCTAGGCAGGTGCTCAAATAGGGTCCCACTCCTTGAGCAGGCAGGTCTTGGATTTGTAATCCTCCTGCTTCTCAACCTCCCTGGCAGCTGGGATGACAGTACTATGCTGTTAGATCTGGCCTACAAATTTTATTTGATGAACTTTTTCCTAGAAACCTTGATGCAACATGCAGTCCAGCAGTCCCCTTTGCTTTGCTTAAGGATTCATTCCATTGCCACTCAACACATGGTGATCCTTATAGTTTGCTTTTTGCATCTGTAAATTGACCATGCATTGTCACAGACTCTAGAGTGGCTGCCTTTGGGAAAAGGAGGCTCAACTAATGTGGCTGAACAGACACGACCTTTAGAAACCTATTAACTAGCCCATCCCATGCAGCAAATTTCCTTCACATCTTCAACTCATATTTGGATGGCATTTCACACAGTGTTGGGGGGGGTCTTAGATTCAAAGGAGCAAAGTTAATCATAATATCGAAAAGCTTGCATTGGGGCCTTCCTGTATTCAGCACCTTTGATGTCTTGAACTTTTTTTTCACAAAGTTTGGTTTCTTACCTTGTTTAAAAAATTTTTTTAAATGCACCTCAAGGGATAAATCATTGGAATCAACAAAAAACTAGAATAGGGTCAGGATAGTGACTTCAGACCAGTGGGAACATGCCCAGCAGGCTGGCCTGTCCAGTTTTCATGCTAGAGCAGCCCTTGCCTCCCACATGTGCCTGCAGGGAGGTAGATCTGTGCCCCCAGGCAGCTGATACCCGGCCACTCCCAGAGTCTGAGTCTGGCTCTTACCCCAGGACAGGACACACACTGTGGGGTAGTGCTTCAAGGGTCCAGCTCTTGGAGACTCCTCTTCCCAAGACTCTTGTCCTGCCTGGATTTTCCCCAGAGAAAGAGGCCCTTTCTCCTCCTCCAAGGCACTTTTTACTCAGCCAAGCCCCTGGTGGCCACATCTGCCTAAGGGAGGCATCTTTCCAGTCAAGCCAAAAGGCACCCCTTTGCACAGGCTCCAGTCTTTCTGGGACTGTTTCAGGAGGCTCTGAGTTGGGTCTGCTTCAGGGAAGAGGGACAGGCCCAAGGGGGGTGAGTCCTGGCCTTCTCCACCATCTTCAGGGCTACTCTTCTAGGCTTGGGAACAGAGTTGTTCCAGGAGGGAACAACTGGGTAGCTGTTTTCTTCCACTGAATCCGTTCTGTGTTCATTCAACAAATATTTGAGGCTCTCCTCTCAGCCAAGGCCTGCTGTAGCCGGGGAAATATGCAGAACAGGCCGGACAAGGTCCCTGCCTTTGTGGAGCTGGCATTCTAGTGGGGGAAGCCAGATAAGGAACAAGTAAAATAAGTAAACAAGACCATTCTTCTAAGTGTGCTGTGAGGAAAACAAAACAGTGCCTCTGCCTAAGAGCCATGGGGGGAGGGAGGGCACAGTTCACACCTGAGAAAAACTGTCCTGAGAAGGTGGCACTCAACTGACGGGAAGGAAGGGGGCCTTGGCAGCTTAGGAAGAACATACCAGAAAAAAAGAAGAGCAAAGTGCAGCCTCCAGAGGCTGAGAGAGCATGTGTAAAGGGAGGCCAGAGTGGATTTATGCCAGGGTCTTGTGGCCTGGGTGGATCCATTCCAGATCCTTCCATGTATACAAGGTGTTAGGAGGGCTTAAGTAGCTGAGCAGCAGGAATCCCAGTGTATTGTGGGAAGGATAACTGAGGCTGCTTGCTGGACAGAGTTGGAAGTTAGGAGGCCAGGAGGGCAGCAGGGTCTGTGTAGAGGCTCCGGTGAGGAGGATATGGTGATATCTGAAGGAGGGCCTTATTGGGGGTGCAGGTTTCAAATTCTGTGTATGTGCTGTGTGTTGCTAGGGATTCAGCCTAGGGCCTCCCACATGCCAGGCAAGCGCTCTATACCTGAGCCATACCTCTAGCCCTATTTATTTATTTATTTATTTATTTATTTATTTTTTTTATTTTATGTGTATGAGTGGATTGCTGCATGTATGTGAGTGCACCCGTGTTGTGCAATGCTGCAGAAGTCAGAAGAGGGCTTCAGATTCCCTGGAACTGGAGTTAAGGATA